AACAAGAGAGGGGACCGTTGGAGGGAGAAAGTGAGACAGACAGAATACTGGATAGACAGGGAAGGAGGAGGTGGGGGCATGAACTTGAAACAGATCGAGACAAAGAGAGGGAGGGAAGGGAGATGGAACAAGAGAGGGGACCGTTGGGATGGAGAAAGTGAGACAGACAGAATACTGGATAGACAGGGAAGGAGGAGGTGGGGATAGGGGGGGGGGGGAGTAGAGAGATAGTATAGAACAGGAGAGTGGAACCAATGGGGTTGATGGAATAAAGACAACAAAGCAGGTAGAGAGAAAGAGAGAGAGAGAGAGAGAGAGAGCTGGAGAAACAGCGTAGGAAGATTGCGTTTTATTTCCTCCTTTAGATGTGGGGACTGTAGAGATATAAGTTACCACTGAAGTACGTTGTTTCTTTGATTTGAAAACAATTACCCATACTCCACAGACTCCACAATATTTGAGAATTGATCCTGATATAATTCCCCCCCCCCCCCCCCCCCCCCCCCCCCCTCTGAGTGCAGTTTGTCTGCTCTTGTTAATAGGACAATGAAGAATTGATCATCTCCATTAAAGGTATAGACCAGTTCTGGTCATGCGATTGCACTGTGAAAGAAACGTGGAATCAATCAAAATGATACAAAATTTGGCCCAGTCTTGGTAAAGTTACAAGCACTGTACACAGACACATGTATATAGGACTACCCTTTATCTATCCAGTCCAGATATAATAATTTACCAAATATATCAATTAGTAGGAGGTTTCCCGGCAAAATTTGTATCATCAAGTATTGGTAAAAAACTTATTCTTTCACATGATTGGTAATAAGAGCTTCCATTTCATTTTTTGAAATGGCAGCGTTTCCAAAACTGGTACTTTAGTACTGGTCATGCGATTGCATTGTGAAAGAAAAGGTGTGGAAAGGATCAGAAACAGTTGATCATGTAGCATGTAAGTATTGGTGTGCACTGCAAGGTTCTGGAGTCATCAAAATCATAATAAATTTGACCGAGTCTTGGTAAAGTAACAAGCACTCACATAGAAAGCTATATATGGGACAACACACATGGTGTCGGGGCTAGTACTACCTTGATTTCCTTGTCTTTCTATGCTCATTACTCAGCCAGTATACATTTTCTTCCAACATTGTTTGGCACATGTCATTTATTTGTAATCATGAACATTCAGTGTAAGTTTCGTTTGATTCTGTGAGAATATTTTTTATTTTTTTTTACCAGTACTGGAGTTTATCTTTAAGGTTCTTTTTCATCCATGCACTCACATCATTGGGGGCTATATGTAGGCCTCCAAGTACATGCATTTGTTTTGCTGTTTGGTATTATGTACTGCTTATTAAATTACACATAAAGCTACACATGTACAGGTGTATACCAGGTGTATACCAGGTGACGAAAGAGACCTCTGCGATACTCATTTTAGATAAAAGGTGGTATGCAGAAATATATCCCAGATGACATTTTACTCTTTGTACAGGGTACATGGACATGTTCATGTACATCTACATGTATAACAGTCGGTCTTCTCATGGACCTAATCCCAGGTCGAAATTCCATTGGGATCCGATCCTATTGGACCATCAGAAACCATTAGAGCTATTGGTGTCTAATGGTTTCAATAGGGAAAGTGAAATGATGGACCCACAGAAACCATTAGAAAATATCTATTGGACCAACACAAACCAACAGAAAAAATGCTGATGGACCAATAGAAAGCTTCTATTGGACCAGCATCCACCCATGTCTTCTATGGGTTTGTGTTGGTCCATTAGATATGTTCTTCTATGATGGGTTTCTGTTGGTCCATTAGATATTTTCTATGGGTTCCTGTTGGTCCACTAGCGATCTTTCTATGGGTTTCTAATGGTCCCATATTCTGAATTCCCTATTGAAACCAATAGTCCAATGGCTTCTATTGGTAAATCAATAATGATCAATCCAAATCGATTTTAGCAACTGTCCACCAAAAAAAAGTATATTCTAACCTCAATTGCATTAACTCCATCACATAGATCACTTGAAGTGAGTTTAAGAATATCCTTTATTTTAACAGAAGGCTTTTACTATTGTATATAATAAACATACATGAATTGTTTCTTGGTTAGTATTTTATAGTAATCATTATAATCAATATATCTATTGCTAAAACGTGAATGAAATTGTAACATGATTAAACAAATAATCTATTGGTCATTAGTTGCCAAAAGAAAATAAAAATCACAAAATTGATGTACATTGTCATAAGTTGCTTAACAAATTATGATAAATTTAATTTTCTGTGAACACGTATAAAGTAATCATGAATATGCATGAGATAGATTTAGCTGTTGATTTCTATTGGTTTCTATTAGACCTATTGGTTTCTATTGGTCCTATTGGTCCTATCGGTTCTATTGGTTTCTATGGGTCTTATTGGTTTAAATTGGTCCTATTGGTTTCTATTGGTCCTATTGGTCCTATTGGTCCTATCGGTTCTATTGGTTTCTATTGGTCTTATTGGTTTATATTGGTCCTATTGGTTTCTATTGGTCCTATTGGTCCTATTGGTTTCTATTGGTCTTATTGGTTTCTATTGGTCCTATTGGTTTCTATTGGTCATATTGGTTTCTATTTCTATTGGTTTCTATGCTATTGGTTTCTATTGGTTTCTGATGGTTTGAATGGTTTCTATTGGATTCAATTCTATGGGTCCAACAGAAACCAATAGACTCCAACAGAAACCATTAGAGACCAATAGAATTTTTCTAATGGTCTCTATTGGTCTCTATGGGATTTTCGACCTGGGATACAAATGGTCTACTTGTAGTGGGCTCTCATATGGAATTTGATACCATTCAGGTGTTTACCCATTAACAGGTGTTAATTGTCGATCCCCAGGATCAGCCTTTAGTTATTATATCCAACAGGCCTTATGTAATGCTAGAGTTCATAGACCACCCATCCCCCATATTATGGTTAAGTAGTTATGTTAATTTGTACTGCACCTGAAGGCTCTCTGAGAGTGAGAGACTAATTAGGGGTATTTCTTGATGGTATCATTGGTTGAGACATTTTGTCACTATGAATATGACTGACAAAGAAAGCGGACAAAATATACAGTTCCTCAGGTAGACAAAGGAACATCCCTTCACTGCTATTATGTAAAAAGGTGAATATGCATGTGACGCCTGTTCTACACATTTTTACATAATAGCAGTGAAGGGATGCTCCTTTGTCTACATGAGGAACTGTATATTTTGTCCGTTTTCTTTGTCAGTCATATTCATAGTGTGTACACCCGTTAATGGTCTTTTCACCAAATCTGATCAGTGGTATTGGCGAGTTTTGACCTCCTGCACATGGCTACGTGACAACCACCTCTCTTTGAAATAGATTCAATAGCTCAAAATCATACATTATTGAATAAAGAGTATCCAAAACCTACATGTTTATTTTCTGGAATGTTTAAATTTTTGAAGTTACATGTACAATGTACAGGGTGTAGCTCAGAATATATATGTTCCTTGGTATTGCACAATTAATTATATAGTGCTAGCCACTATTTCTTTCGGTGAAATCATGTACATTAAAACAAATGTACTATTAGATCAGTTTAATGAAGTCCCCAAAATACAAAAAAGAAAAAGAGGTTGTTGACTCTGTCTTTCTGAATACCACTGTGGACAGTATACAGATATTGACTGGCAGGGGGTGTACCGTAATATAACATTCTTTGGACTGCTGAAGGAAGTTGTATTTTCCGACTCTGTTTTTTGCTATGGCAGGCAGCCATTAATAACAAACTCGTTTAATCAAATTATGGAAATGCCTTGTGATTACTGATTTTCTGTTCTGGAGCTTTGCAGCTCTGTCACTATCACCCCTGTTATATACCGGTACTTGTTATTTCTAATGACTCAAGTAGCTTCCTTGACTGCACAATCAATGAGGAAGCTACATCTCACCTCATCCTCTTGTTCTCAAGACAAAGAGAAAAGAAACACAAAAAGTATAACAACAAGGAATAAAATGGCATTATGTCGAAGCATTTTAGAGACTTAAAGGGAACCAAAACCTTTACACTAAGTTACTTTTATTGTAAAGTTTAAAAGATTTCACAAAATTTCACAATTTTTTTGTTTTCTTCGCATTTATTTATGTTCTTGATCCGACTTCATAACATGTGAAGTAGAATATCATTTTGCTTTCTATATCTTGCTTTCAGGGGAGTAGATTATCTTAATCACAAGAAAGAAGGAAAAACATGAAATTTGATTTTGATGTACAAAAGGCATGGAGAGTTGTCCACAGATGATGTCAGCAAATTGAATACCGCCCTCTAGTGACTAGTCATTTCAAAAAGCTCTAACTTCCTTATTTCTTGCCCGATTTTGTTCAAATTTTCACTGATATTTTTCAAATATCTTAAACTTTACAATAAAAGTAACTTAGTATGAAGGTTTTGGTTCCCTTTAAAGAGATACATCTAAAAGTACATTGAAATTCTCAAGAGTATCACAGACTAGAGCATCAGAGTAAATTAGTATGTAAGCTTGTGTTCTCACATGTACGAGCATTTTTAAATTTCCTTACAAAAAAGTATTATCGCTAAATGTTTGTTTGTTTGATCTTATTTTTGTGTTAAAAAAAAACAAATACAAGGTTATACACAATACATGATCTACATAGCAAATCATGAGGGAGAGAGGGAGGGAAGGAGAGTTTGATACATTGTGTTCAATGTACATGTATATGAAAATTCTGCAAACAGTTTGAGAGATGGAAAATACATACTATGATCATGGGATAATCATTTTCAAATTGTACTGCAAAGGGATGAATTGACCAGACTCAACATGAAAAAATGAATTAAAAGAGAAGAAATCGACTATGTTTTGTTGGAAAACTTATACTTGAATTCTAGGAAGTGTTACTCTTAATCTACATGTGAATTTGATGTTGGTCTGTCTTGAAGTTTACCCACATTTCTGTTTGTTTTCCTCCAGATTACAAAGTAACCGCTGGATCTAGACTATGTATTATTACTGCTGGAGCTAGGCAGAGAGAGGGAGAGAGCAGGCTTAATCTAGTACAAAGAAATGTCAAAATATTTGAAGGTAATATTAATGATGATGATGATGATGATGATTAATGATACAAATGTTGATAGCAATGGTAATGAATTGACGATTTTTATATTAACTATAATGATGATGATGTTAATTTGTAGAAATAAGAGTATAGACCACAACAACAATGACAACATCAGTAACAGCAGCAAATCACATTAAGTAGAATGATAAGTGCTCTGTATAATAATAAGTAATACAATAATTGGTAGACATAACAAGTGTTTCACATGTTTTTACTATATATGTACATCTACAGACAGACAATTAAACCCGGCTACATGTCTGTGGCTTTAGCCTCTGTGTTGAATTACTTGAAAATCCCTTTATAAGGTAAGTACGTACATGTAAAACCTTGTTTGAATACAGAATAAACACTTTAGCAATCAAAGTACATGTAATAGGTAATATATAGAATTGAATGCCTATTCAACTCCAAAACAGCTTACACAATATATATGCAGAAGAAAAAGAATAAGAAAATACATGTGTATTATGTTAGGAGTTATGACAAAATGATCCTATCAATTTCTAAGTAAATTCTTTTAAAGCACCACTGCACTACTTACATGTATAACTACTTGCACCCTCGTTATAGCAAACAATGCCTAATCTGTGACCATTGGTCCCTCATGATCCTCCCTTTTATTATGTTAATTGAGAGCCGCTTTGATGAGATAAACACCTGGTAGTGACCATGCAGGGAGGTCTAATCCCCCCTGGCCAAACTAGTGCAGTGGGGTTTTAAATGAAATTGCTTGACCACTACTTACTATCATCTCTAAACAGTCAGTATATGTCGTTATGTTTATAAATAACACCATTTTCCTGCATGTATGCTATCTCACAGGTATTGTTCCCAATCTCGTGCGCTACAGTCCAAACACAGTTCTTCTCGTCGTCTCCAATCCCGTTGATATTCTCACATACGTTGCATGGAAACTGAGCGGCTTGCCATCAAACAGGGTCATAGGTTCAGGGACCAACTTGGACACGGCACGCTTCCGATTCCTCCTCGGAGAAAAACTAGGGATAGCGCCCTCTAGTGTCCATGGGTACATCATCGGGGAGCATGGTGATTCAAGCGGTAAGCCCCAGGGGGGCGTTTCATGAAACAATTAGTCGTTGGTTTTCACCGACTAATATCATGTTCACTGACAATTTAGTCAGCACTGACTAAATTTGACCAATCACAGGCCTGGAAAATAGTCGGTGACAAAAGAATTGTCGGTGAACATGATATTAGTCGGTGAAAACCACTGACTTACCGCATGGTGATTCAAGCGGTAAGCCCCAGGGGGGCGTATCATGAAACAATTAGTCAGTGGTTTTCATTGATTCCATTATAGCTATGGTAGTGTTGTAATTGAGAACTTGGACTGGTAGTCGATTCAATGCAGTTTATTGTGTGAACAAACCCTTATCATACCTGCCAATCCTTCCGAATAATCCGGAATATTCAGATTTTCTGGATTTTTAGGACCTAAAATTGCAGAATATTCTGATTTGTCAAAATTCTGTTTTGTTGTTGTTTTGTTTGTTGCTAAAGCCAAATTAAGCTAGTTTTATCATGTGCCGAGATTTGAGAGTTTATGTATTGTGTGCGTTGAATAGCTGCAAGATCGAGCAGCGAATTTGTATTCACTTTTTTGTACAGATTTACTGTGTATTGCCAGTTACACTGCCGCTGCATGTGCGAACGCCTGTTAAGGGTACAGATTTCTTATTTTCGAAGGCATACCGTGCTAGAAATTCCTAATTCTTATTTTCAAATGTTGGCAGGTATGTCTAATACAGATCTAAGTACATTGAAGATTGTTGATCTGTTCATATTCTAAGGGAATGGACATGTACACATTGCTGCTTCTGAGATGGCACAACTTATGATATCAATTCACATGAATTCATGAATTATGCATCCCTTTTCATTGCAGTTGCTGTGTGGTCATCAACAACAGTAGCAGGAGTGAGCCTTCAGCAACTCGACCCTGAGATAGGCACTGTCAAGGATCCTGAGAATATGCACCAAGTTCATCAAGAAGTCATAGACAGGTAATCATGTAGACCAGTGACCATGTAGACCAGTGACCATGTGGACCAGTGATCATGTAGACCAGTGATCATGTAGACCAGTGACCATGTAGACCAGTGACCATGTAGACCAGTGACCATGTGGACCAGTGATCATGTGGACCAGTGATCATGTAGACCAGTGATCATGTAGACCAGTGACCATGTAGACCAGTGACCATGTGGACCAGTGATCATGTGGACCAGTGATCATGTAGACCAGTGATCATGTAGACCAGTGACCATGTAGACCAGTGACCATGTAGACCAGTGATCATGTAGACCAGTGATCATGTAGACCAGTGACCATGTAGACCAGTGATCATGTAGACCAGTGATCATGTAGACCAGTGATCATGTAGACCAGTGATCATGCAGACCAGTGATCATGTAGACCAGTGATCATGTAGACCAGTGATCATGTAGACCAGTGATCATGTAGACCAGTGATCATGTAGACCAGTGATCATGTAGACCAGTGATCATGCAGACCAGTGATCATGTAGACCAGTGATCATGTAGACCAGTGATCATGTAGACCAGTGATCATGTAGACCAGTGATCATGTAGACCAGTGATGTGCTACAGGGTCATGTCCCTCAGTAATATTTTCTTTGAACTTATTTCATCAAAGATACGGTCATGGTTAGCTTTATTTTGGGTACAGGGATGAAGTTAAGGATAGCATTTGTAAGAAATGGACGCTGAAACCCGTGCGGTTTAATTGTGGGACCTCTAATTAGGCACGATAGCACCCCTGAGAAAATATTGTTGTTAGATATGCCCTCAGAAAGGCTCAGGGCCACATTTCTTAAAATATGTTATCAGTATTAAACAAGTGTCACTTTTTTTAAAACAAATTGGCTTTCAGCCAATCAGATGCAACGATATCAGTAGCTTCTAACAGCTAAATTGCAATTGGTTATGGATAAACAGTTTTTTAAACTGGGCCCTGCAACAAACTTTTAGTACAGGCACTAAATGTAATAAGAAGTCTTGGGTTATAGATGAGCATCTAAATTCTCAAATAGGCACTAAAAAGTATTGTTATCTCATTGTACATTTCAAAGGATATTCTGCTTTTTGTTTAAATACAGTGGAGCTACCATCATTATTTTTTCTCTTTCTTTATTGAAAATTTTATTGAAAATCTCTGAATAACATATTTGAATACATGTACAAATGAATATTATATAATACTTCAGAATTAGATATACATAATGAATATCAACCATAATAAGCGATTACTGAAAGCGTAAGCACATTGATAATAGTAATATGATAATAATAATACTGTTAATACAAAACATAGATTTAAAAAAACAATGCAACATCATGACTGAAAATCATTTGAGAAATTCAGTGAAATAATACTCAATGTAATGTTGCTTTTGTTTCCTTTGATAGTGCATATGAGATTATCAAACTGAAAGGCTATACATCATGGGCCATCGGACTGAGCTGTGCAACGCTTGCTTCAGCTGTGCTGAGGAACCAGAAGGGAGTCTATGCCGTTTCTACCGTCGCCAAAGTAAGCTATATTATAAATTATACTACGTAATACCAATTTCGGGATTACGTTAAATGAGACCCCGTCAGTGCGCATGCGCTAATCAACAATTTTCGTCAGTCGCGTGTTATTTGAGCGAAAGGACACCTTTCTGACTCAAGAAACCGCCAGGCACCGCCTGAAAGCGCGGGAGCCACGGGCTCCTACGGAAAGAAAAAATTACCCAACTCCAGTGGCAAAGTCACTGCTGGCAAAGTCAGCAGAGTGGGCCGGGGAAAGCTAAAAGTAAAACAAAGTCGGACTCGGAGCCAATCCTTGATAATAGAATTTATGAATGATTCAAATCAACATTTTATGCCTTTAAAAATAACTTTTACAAAATATTTTCAAAGACGCTAACGGCTTTCCATAATTGTTAAGTCCAACTTAGGGTGTCAGGAGTGGGTAGCTTTAATATACATCAATAAGGTACAAATGGATACAGAATAGTACAATTGACTTGAACATAGATAACACAAATGCAGACTAAAATTCAATTCATAATTCAGACTAAATAATTAAATTCATTTCATAATTCAGATTTAATTCAATTCACAATTCAGATTAAATTCAATTCATAATTCAGACCAAATTCATTTCATTTCATAATTCAGATCAAATCCAATAATAATATAATTATTTAATGATTTTCTTTTTTAGGGATACCATGGTATTGAACATCCAGTATTCCTTAGTCTCCCGTGCATCCTTGGACAAGATGGAATCACCCATGTTATCAAGCAGACCTTGAATACCAAAGAACAGGCCCAACTTCAGGCTAGCGCCAATACCCTGTGGGACATCGCCACTTCGCTGGATATCCGCGAGCCATCGAAGTAAGGGGCCTTCTTTATGAAACAAGGTCAATATCCACTCAGAAAACAACAAATAAACAAAGCTGTTTATGTCAAAGCCTAACCAAAGCAAATTAGCTCCATTGTCCTCTGCTGAAATAACATGCTAGTTCTTAGAAAAAGGTAGAGAAAAATCATTGCAACATTTGTAATCCTTGACAGGCGATCAAATTCTTACTTCTCTTATAACCGATTCATTATTTTTCACCACCATCTGTTCAGTTATTTCATCATTTTCTTGTTTTTTTTCCTTTCACACTACTTCAATGCTACTTGAATCACCTGTTTGATGTCAGTCCAAAAACTTGGAAGAAAGAAAGAAAGGAAAAAAACAACACAACAGAAATCACATTTGTTGCATAATTTTATTTACATCGTTCCTTTTTCTTTCTTTTTTTGTTTTCTTTTTCGATTGACTTAAACTGGTCAATGTAATATATTTTTGGTTCATGACACTTTGTCTGTTTAGAGCCAGAGGAGTATTAACTGTATGATATAAATCAATGCCCTCCTGGTTCCAAGCAGACAACCTCATGAATCAAAGAAAAAAGACAGTAGTAAACATGCTTCTGTAACAGACATGATGAAATAAATATTATTGATTGTGATTTAGAATTGCTTAGTACTTATTACTAACTGCTTTCATGACAATGCCATGATTTAACATTTTCACTGATAAGAGCTTGAGGTAAATCTAATAGAGCAGAACCTCATAACTAACTCTCTTTAGGCCTGTCTTCACTATCTCGAGATTGCCAAATATCCCGCTAATTTGCGTCTTCGTCAGACCTAAGTAGCAATTTGCGGGATATTTGTCCTGTGCGTCTTCACCAGACCGAAGACTCACACTATGCGCTACCGCTGAGCAAAATATCTCGAGCTAATTTCTCAAGGTCGAGTTTCAAGTTTCGAGGTCGAATCTCGAGCTGATGAAGACGCGATTTGTAACTTCGGGATTATTTCCCAAATCAGAAATAGCGGGCTATTTGGCAATCTCGAGATGATGAAGACGCATCTTAAGAGTCAGAAAATAACCTTGTTTACTCAAACATAGAGAAGGTCAATTCCAAGGGGTATGGAATGACATTTCCAGAGAATTTTCTATTTTGAATAAAAAATATTATAGATATTTGTTTAAAAAATATCTGCAGATTAATGATATGTTTAACTATTAAATATGAGTTACTTTCTCAACATTAGGGTTTCCTATTAACCATTTATGAAATATTGAACTTGATATAATTTGTTACGGTATGACATAGAAGATCATATTTGGTCAATCTATAACAAAGTTATTTAACTTTCAATATTTTAAAAAATGTGATGAATGGTTGATAGGTAGCTCACATCCTGTGAACGTACTTCATATTAGTTTAAAACTATATTTTATAATTACTTTGTAGATTTGTATTAAAATGGTTATAATATTCGTCTATCAAAAGTGATTATTCTCTGGAAACGTTATTCCCTAATGCTTGGAATTGATGAGAACTGAAACTAGCCAAATTATCTTCTTCTAACTAGTGTTTGCTAATATAACAGCTGTGCTCTTTATTCCAAGCTTCCATTGTTCTGGGCCCTGTTGCACAAAACTTACCATTGATGGTACATTAACTTTGCTATCAATGGTAACTACCATGGTAACCTTGATTTTGATTGGCTGTTGAGCCCTGTTACCATGGTATTTGTCATTGATGGCAAAGTTACCATCAATGGTAAGTTTTATGCAACAGGCCCTTTTAATTATTTCAAATTCCATGTTTCAACGTAGTTTCTGTCATGTTTACTCTCGTACCTTTTCAATTCTAGCCGAGTATAACTTTCTGGTTCATTCTCATTAAAACTCTCCGTAAATCTTTCTTCTTGTGTTGAACTCAATACGTTCTTGATTCTTTACTAAACCATGTTTTGTTTTGTTTTGTTCTGTTCTTTACTCTTGTTGTCCTTTCGTCTCTTTGCCCAGGGAAGGCAAAGCCGACACTAAGCAGTAATAACATTGGTCAGTAATGTTGCATGCACAGTAGAATAACAAACTGTGTTAACAAAGTCAAAGGGTGGTATTCTCGAAGGCGGACTAACTTTAGTCCATGGTTTAATCCTCAGACTAAGTATGGAATACCAAGTTTCCATATGAATATGTTTATCTACTTCATAGAACCACACTAATAATTTGATTAATTATCAGTATTTATGAATTTATTTAATCAATACTCATAACCACTAATATCCTTTCAGTTTCACTGCAAAATGTGGATATTGCTGCAAATTTATGCCTGCTATTTGAATTAACAAAGCCAGATTTTGCAGCAGCATTTTGCTTCTTTATTTTTTGTGCAAGTTGTAGAAAAGAAATCTTCTAAACTGGCTGCTTTTTGAATGAACAAAACCCAGATTTGCAGCAGCACTTTTTGTTTCATTTTCATACATTGGGTTGTTTACAACAAAGTCTAAAAGATCATTACAAAACAGTTGACGTCATCTTATTAGGATCTAGTAACTTACGCTGGTCCCTTGATATTGTCACTCTTTCTCTCCTAAAAAAACATGTTTTTCTGTCTTTTGCTTGAATCCAGAATTACATGCAACATAGAATTATAATTTTATTGTCAACAGTGAGAAAAAAAGGAGGGGGGGGGGGGGGTGGTACAGGTTGGGCGAAAGAGATAAGGAATTTTGGAGGTGCACTGGGTGAGGGGAATCAACAAAACTTGGTTAAGAATATCATAGGAGCTAAGCCTATGCAGTGATTTCGTAGCATTATGTTTTATTCTCAAATTAATAACTAACCTTAACCCTGGTGACTAAATGACTGCAAGTACAGCTGGAGGCCATCGTACTATAATGAAGTTCTATAAACTCTACCATAGGGCTCTCATGGGAAATTTGACGCCATTCAGGTGTTTTCCTAATAACAGGTGTTTTCAGTCACCAGAATGAGCCTTCAGTTTATGACCTACAGGCCTTATGTAATGCCCTGCATATTCCACCCATTCCCCCCTATGATAAAGTTGTTATCGGTATATAACATTTCCCTCACTTGAAGCAAGGAGATGGTGCTTGAAGACTCTCTGAGAGACTTGAGCAGGGCTCCCACTTAGCCGAGTTAAAGCTTCGAGTTGTGGACAAGCTGGTGCGATCTTATGGCAAGCCGTTTTATCATTAATACATATTTCTTGATATCAAGAAACAAGTTTACGTTGTAAAGCAATGGTAATTCTTGATATCAAGAAATCGATTTCGTGATATCAAGAATTCGATTTCAGGATATCAAGAAATATGTTTTATTGATAAAACTGCTTGCCATAAGATCGCGCCAGCTCGCCAGAACTCGAGGCTCTAACTCGGCTAAGTGGGAGCCCTGCCTAAGGGGGTATTTCTTGATGGTACCATGGGTTTGCTGTGTGCAGACTTGTACATCCATTAATGGTATGTCCACCAAGTGTGGTGTCAGCGAATAATGATCTTCTGCACATGGAAACTGACGACCCTCTCCCTTTGAAACTCCTCACTTTAATCTTGTATCCAACATTTAACCTAATCCTAACCCTTGCAGATAACACATTTTTTGCATCACAGCTATAACCATTTACCGTATTTCTAATGGAATAATGCACAGAGCAAGATCGAAAGCCAATGTAATTGTGATTTATGTTTAGCACGTCATGCTTGAACAAGGCTTCATCCAAACCTGACCCTGCCTTTCCAGATACAATCAAACCTGTCTCTACTGGGGTGTGTTTCACAAAGACTAATATCGACTTTAAGTTGGTCTTAACTATGGCAGGCCGTTCATGCCACGTATTGGTTGCTCAGTCTCTCAATAATAATCTTTAGATAATACTTTTTCCTTCATTAATGAATTATCAACAAAATTAAATTCTGCAGATTTGTGACCTTGATTTGTACGTCGCTTGAGAGACCAATGCCAGTACATGGTGAAAGCAAACAGTGGCATGAACGGCCTGCCATAGTTAAGTCTAACTTAAAGTCGCTCTTGGTCTTTGTGAAAAAACCACATGTACAATCAAACCTGTCTCTATAGGCCACCTAAAAGAAATGAAGAATTTTTTTTTTGTGGACATTTGGTCATTCTACCGGTAATCAAGTTTTACAACAAAGATCTCTTTCTCTGGGCAATCTGAGATGGCCTTCATGAGGAGGGGGCCTCCGTCTACCTGTAAAGGCTTGTTCATACATGCTGCAATAAACCGCTGTTTTTTCCTTCAAAGCGTACTCATCTGCATTCTGCAATTCACATTATTGTATTTTATAACACAGAGATTCACTGTAAGTGACTAAGTGAGTATATGAAGAGCTTAATTAAAAAGGAGCTAAATCCACTTTTGATGAAAATAGATTTTTGTTTTTATATCAGAACATTGTTCACGAAGTAACCGTTTTTCAACAAAATTATTTACCTAGATTAAGGGAGTAATATAATTATGAAAAAAATGTACCTTCTAATATCACTTTTTCATATAGACGCCTGTACAAAATCTGGTATTTCTTTTTCTCTGAAGTTACAAAATATATTTTGCTCCTTTGGAATTAAACTCTTCATATGTAGAAGCAGAAGCACCTGTTGCACACAGCTGCTTTTTCATCCCCACTTGCTAATCATTTAGTTCACCACTAAACCCACTGCTATTTACCATGTTATATGTGATGGAGAGTTAAGACTGGTTTGAATGTGTTATCTTTAATATGTGATGTATGTATTTATCCAGCTTTATTAACCAAGGGCTATTGCCGGGGTGTGTTTCACAAAGATCCTAAGTTGAACTTAACTCTAAGTTGGACTTAAAAATTATGGAGAGCCATTGGGGTCATTCCATGTCAAATCACCCAATGGTTTTAACCCGACCATTTTTTATTTTGATGAAACTTAGTGTACTTGTTGAGTGTGATCTCACAGCACCAAATCCCAAATTTTAGGTCAATCGGGTGAGGGGTTTGGGAGATACGGCCCACCAAATTTTGAG